TCATCGCAATGCGGGTGGATTTAGTAATTTGACACGATTCGCATCATATTTGTAATTCAAACCTTTGAGAAAATTAATTGCTAAAAGTAAATAATACCCGATTGCACTTAACGATAATATTTTTTTTTCCTTGACCCTTTCACAATAACAACACCGGCACAAATCTTTTTTTTTCGCGGTGGGCAGTTTTTGAAAAAAGCGATTCGGTCCGCGTTTCCAAGACCACCTTGTGTATACCAAGTTCTATTTTTGATTCGAAACAGATCTAAAAAAATTGTCTTGAATGCTACTTGAGGCCATCTTCACTATAGGCTTCTCGAGCTCGGCGGACATTCGACGGGCGAAAAATCACTACAGTCTGGTGCGTCAAATAAATAAATAAATAAATCAAATAACCGCTTTGCTTGCATCTGTACGATACCATTCCACCATCATTAGACGCGATGCCGCAGGCCTTGATGGAATGGGCAACTTGCTTTTCTGTGGCACCGCGGCTTTCCTAAGCTGAAGTGAATATATCCTTCACTAATATCACCCAATTTACGAGCGCTTCAAACTTGCAAAACAGTAAAAGCACGCGCACTTTAAAAGGTTATTATTGCACAGACTTCATCAGACGATAAAAGTTTTCCGGCGTTTCCGAGTTTAAAAATTAAATCGGAGCATGAAGATATGAGTTTGGAACGCGACAACAAACTTACCTTCGCATCCATATATGAGCAGCACAGATTTCGTGTGTGTGAGGACCACATGTCTATAGCAGTTAGGGCTGTGACGCGTGGTACCCTATTTATGTTTCTCTTTCCTGTTTTATCCTAGTATACGCTGCAAGGCGCTTCAGTTATGCAGAATTCCGATGGCGTACTTTTACCGTGACACATGTTACTCTGCACGATGCTGTGAACTGTATGGGGTTGGGGGCCCCGTCAGGCAGCAATGCCTTGGGTCCCTGCCTCCCTACGCGGTAATGCTGTTGAAAATTGAAATAAAAAAATCCATTAAACTAAACGAATGTTATTCATTGCAAATTGCACTCATTATTCGGCTTTACATCATTTCGATCGTTTACATGCACAGGTAGGCACTGACCAGCGGCGTAGACTTTCCATTTTCCCGGGGAGGGGGGGAAGGCTGAGAAGTTCTCCAGGGGGGGGGGGGGGGGGGGGGGGGGAGGGGGGGGAGGGGGGGGGGGTTGTGCGTTTCCTTTTCGCCAGAACTGGAGATTGAAGCTAACGAAAGCACGCTCTGGGATTCCATTTCCCATGTATTTTTTTCAATAAAGACAACGTGGGCGTTATTTTGTTTACATGCCACTACTATAGAAGCTCGTTAACTGGCACGTAAACAGCGTCTCGGTAAGGGTCATAACGCTGGCCAGAAAAAAAAGGAGGGGGGGGGGGGGGCTCTGCCCCCCCCCCCCCCCCCCCCCCCCCCCCCCGCCTTTTCCGGGATCTCATTAGTGGGGCACGAGCCCCGATGTTCCCCCCAGGTCTCATTAGCGGGGCACGAGCCCCGATGTCCCCCGAAGTCTACGCCTATGGTACTGACCCATGGTGTTTGTGCGTACTTCTTGACGCCTCTCTTGATTTTCGAGATGCTCTTCATTGCTTTGGTACGTAAGCCCCTGCAGAAAAGCGCCGAAGTCATGCTCCCTCTAACACTGTCTTAAAGTGTACATAAAAATGTACGAAGTCATTCTAGAACCATTTTTAATGCCATAATTTTGAGAAGAAAAAGAAAAAAAGAACCCCGTAAAAACCGATTGTTTTGTCTGCGTGACTGAGCAATAATTAAAGCTATCAAGACCTACGAATTATTTTTTGATATTTCTCCTATATTCAAGCCCAGTTAGAAAATGCACTCACTTTTTCCTGAAGAAATGCATTACCGGAAGTAAATTTCAGACTGCTTGCTGCCTGCCTTAATTTTGATCCGCACACTAGCGTCAGTTGGACCTCTAGCGAATGGTATAATAACTTTATGGTGTATACTACATAACTGCGAGTACAACGAATGAAGCTACCAAACGAACAGGAGGTAACAGTTGTTGCGCTCTATTTTGCTGCTATATCGGGTGTGCTGGCGCAAGCTTACAGGCCATCTAGTTATATAGTGAAAGGTAAAGAGATGACACCGAAGCCGATTTGCGGCCAAGATCAACCCATCTCTTACCCCCTGCGCAGCGACACTACTGAGTAAACTATTTTGAAGTTATTATACGTTTTTTTTTTAAATAAATACTTCGGCTGAAAAGTTGGCTTTTTTATGAATATTTCAGGGCTTTGGTATGCTTCAATAAATTTCATTTTTACAACACATAGATCACGCCCGGCCGAGCCGCCGAGAGCCCATGGGATTCGCAGGTCGCTTGTGGTCTCTCCCATTCACTTTCTACTTCATCGGCCCACTTCGAGAGCAGGGTAGTCCGGCTTGCTGGCCGCCTGCTCGCCGTGATCTTATGAAAGAACCTTTCTAGGCAGTAGCTTCATTCAGGTTGTCTTCCTTTAAACAGAAATTACTTTCACAGTGTTTCTTTCACATATCTGTGATGCTTCTTGACCAAGTGCGCCTGACACGGTAGGGCTAAACCAGTTTCACACATTATCGTACTTCGCTTCGGTGTATTCTTCCTTCCACCGCTACTTCACTGCTCTTTGGCAACGAACAATCTGATGGAACCTTTTGCTGACGACCCAATCGACGTTATCCGTTTTTCTCTAGGGCTCCCAAATAATATCCAACGAAAGATCCTTCTGTGTTCCCTGTTGCACAAGCAATCGTAAGACAAATAAGAAAAACGGCTCTTACGCTTTTTGTTTCGGATTCAAAATTACCCCAGGTACGTAATTCGAGGCAAGCGCTCAAAAGAAGTAAAGAAAGTGATGTCCTTGAAGACACTGTTACTTAAAAATTAACTCGACAGCCGCTATTACTGCTCTATTTTACGTGTTACAAACCGCTATGAGCTTCTTGTTCTCCACTTAGGGGTTGTAGCTTGGTTGTAGCTTCAGTTAAACAGGATAGACAAAAGTAAAACTGTTGCCCCTTTGCATTTATTTGCATTATAATTATAATGTTAAAACCCTGTTGCCTACAAGTTAAAAGTTGTCCCAAATTATTTGCAAAAACAAACTGGATAAACATATTGACAAGAGGCCTAATGAATATTTTTTTTTAGATTGCAATCCACTTGTTATGTTGCGTTCAAAGAAATACAAAATGTGCAGATTTATTTCATGCTCAAAACAAAATTATCTCCTAACTTACCTCGCAAAGGGATGGAAAATTGATAGTGTTTTCGTGGGTTTGGGACGCATGAGACTGTTTGGTCAGTAAGAAGAACTCCGTGTCAGGGTAAAGCACTTGACACTTCAGTTAGCAATGACAAACCAAGCAATGGCAAAATCAATGGAAATATTTCGTAGTCTTTTTGTCTTCTCTCCCGCGCAGTTTCTTTCACCTCTTCGTTATGCATGATGTAGGTGATAAAAACAATATGGTTTGAAGGCCAAAGGCTTGGCTGCGCTCAGCTAGCTGTCCGCCGCAGAGCAAATCGTGGGGCACCTGATTTGTACTGTAGTTGACACTTTACTCCAAAGGATTTCTAATCCTGCGAAAACAAGACTCGCCAAAACGGCAGTCCCTACTGTTTAGCCGCAAATAAATCGGACGTCTTTAAAGGCGCATGGTGATAGCTTGCTTCACTCAATGTGTGCACGACGTTACGTTATTATCCTTTGCGTTTAGGCAATGCCAGCTCCATATATCTACTGCCAGCGCGACATCAGCGCTGTTCTCTGCCTGTCTTGGTATTATGTTTGGCTTTAGTTTGACTTGACGCTTTTTGTATCGTTGTCAGTACTATTTTGCCTGTCTAGTTATTCGTCTTGTATATTATCATCTGTGTCAAGCTAGCTCGGTGTATTGCTTAGTGTTAATGCCAGGCCAAGTTCTTCACAACAAAATTTACATAGACAAATTTCTGTCTTCTTTAAAGTATAGAAACTTGCTTGTTCCTTTGTAGAGGGACGAATTCGGTCTTGCAGCACGACTCCCCACCTGGGGTGTTTAATGTGCGCCACAAAGCAGTGATTCCATGAATACAGGCAAGTCTAATCCTAGTTTATATCAGAATCCGGAGGAGTAAATATCGGTTCGGTCAATATTATGTTACTAATTTTTTATATACCGAACTTTGTAATATATTTTGTAGGATTATGTTTTTATTAGGCATATTATGATTTTAAAATAATTGACTTGTATGGGATTACGGTCAAAGAAAATATTTTTGAACCACTTACTCTCGTTGAGATCAAAACACTCCTTCAGCCAGGCGACAATGTGGCCCTTGTATACCTTGCATTTTCGGCAATCTAGAAAATGGACACTTTTTGTCTTTTCCGTAATGCAAGTACAAAGCTTTGAACAATTTTGCAGGTTTTTTTAAAATTAAAACTACACAAAAGGGCGTCCAAATTAACAAGAGCACAGGAGCCGAAGAGCTCTACAAGAGTGGTGGCACATGAGCCAGCGAGGAGGGGATTAAACAAAAAGAAGAAAGGAAAGGGGAGAAGAGTACCAGAGCGAAAACGACAAAACCAAAACCACCGTTACCAGAAATGGAACCAAACTATCGTTCATAACGCTCGCTAGGAGCGGCAGCTGCCAAATTGGTCTATCTGGGCCGTTGGGGTCTATTAAAGAGTCGACCCATATTCACGTGCTGTTGTCGAGTCCATACCACCGAGATAAAATGATAAGCTCCGTTTAGCGAAAAGCACAAAACAGATGCATAAACTACACAATCTCTCTCACACTCAAAGAGAAAGTGACTCTTTAGAGATAATTTGTTTTCTCGATAGCCACTAACATATCCGTGCGCTTCGAGGCTTCTTTTTTTTTTCCCTGATTATTCTTAAACCGGTTCTCTCCCATAAAAGAGCGCACAGCGGGCTATCTGCCTAGAGCTCGCGAAAGTGTTTTCCGGCTTCTGAGCGGCAATGATTGTGGTTGCGTTCTCGTTCACGTTGGTTACGTGCGCGTTATGGACACTTCTCCTTAACGCGCCGGAGTTGCGGCGAATTTCAGAGACAGTGGCGTCTTGGCTGCTCGTGGCATGGGTTTCCTACAAGCTGGCAATCTACATACGACGGACAGTGTTTGGCCGCACGCTGCCCATTGCAGGGAAAGCGGTACTCATCACAGGTAACGCTCGTTTTCAAATGGACGATCAATGTCATATTAATTGGGGTTGTGTGGATATTCATTCGGCGTTTAGTTGGTTAGCCATTTCAAAGTTGCGACGAGTCACTCGCTGTAGATGAGCAATTTAGCCAGCGCAGCGCAACCGCTAACCTGGTGTCTTTAGCGTGCACTACGCAGTAGTGATACACGGCCGCACGTCGGTACACGATGCTCATCCAGATCGAAACGGGCACGGGTGGGGATTGAACCCAGCATCCCTGGGCTCTGCAGCGCGAGCTTTCGCTCCGCGTGCTCCGAGCTGGAGTGCACTAGCTCACACGGCCACCAATTCCCCCTGATAAAAGACATTGTGTTGTGTGTATGTTTAGACAGCGGGAAGCTTCAGTCCCAAATCGGTGCCTTGTGCCCACGCTGTAGATGAAAATTTTAAAACGTGGAGTACAACTGCTAGCCAGGGGTCTTCAACGTACACCCTGCCATAGCGATACACAACCGCATGCAGGTACGATGCTAATTGAGATCATACCGTGCATGGGTGGGGATAAAATTCAGGGTACCAGACTTTGGCAGTGTGAGCTTTTGGCACAAATCTGCTAGCTGTTGTGCGTAAAAACCAGGGCGGAGAAAAATATAAAAACTATTTAAATAAATATTTACATCAAAGGCGTTTTACTCTAATATTTATATGAAATCTTTCCTATGAAGTAATATACTATGTAGCTTTATTTACAGTTTTCATGTAAATTTTCTTTTTTATGCGCATTTGTTTTTATTCATATCAAAAAATCAAGCTAGAAATATTTATATCGGGTTGAAAACGAGCAAAAAACTTTGCTCCTCTGAGGGATTCCCATCATTGAGTTTTTTTGGTTTATTTTTCAGCATTCCACATTGTTTTTTAGGTACATAACTTTCTATTGTAAGCAGATCCGTACGTGAAAAATAAAGGAAGAAAAAACTGGAAGGGCAATGTCTTACTGCAAGCAAATAATAAGGCGAAAAAACGAAAAAAGCAGGCATTTCAGCTAACTGGAAAAATCAAGCTGTTTTATTGTAGTATTGTTTAGGTTACACAAGTAAAACGCTAATTTAACTTGTAGGTTAGTAGGGTACGTTGTTGGGCTAGTTGGTTCATCTTAGTAAAACATATAAAATTGCGCAAAAAAGACAAGGACAACAAGCATACAGGACAGGCACTATTTTATTAACTTGTAGGGTTAGGTGCACAACAAGGACCAACACGGCAGATACAGCAAAACACACCTTTCTCCCAGACTAGCTGTCGAACGAATGCCGGCCTCCCGAGCACATGCGTGGGTCGCGCACCTCGCCTTTCGCGCCGGGCGTTGAGCCCGAAAGGCGCAGCGCCCTACAAACTGAATCTGTCTCGTCGGTCCTTCTTGCGAGTGAGGAATACGCACCGATCCCTACAAAACAGCAATTTCAATTTAGAGTAATTCTTTCTGCCACTCTGTTATCAGTGATCGGACGCATTCTGCCATGTATTGTCCATGTTTAAAAATAAACTGTATTTATGGTCACTCATTTTAGCTACTGTTAATCGAGCGAGTTCGAATAAAATAACATCAATTTGGGGGAAGGCGGGGATCTAAATCACGTTAATCAAATCTACTTGATTTACATGAAATAATGTTGATTTAAAGTATTCAAATTTGATTTATATCATATATCATATTTATTAGATTTACATCAAATAAGTTTGACTTATAACAAATAAATCTGTTTTAGCGCATTAAAACCTAACATAGTTATTTAAAAAATTATTATTTTCTTCCACCCTGGTGCACAGGCTCGGTCACTGATCCCTCACAAAAACGAATGATCGAAATAATGTGTATATATACATTAAAAAAAACTTGCAAAACAAAACGTTAGCGCAGGGAAAACAGATGATGAAGTTCTCCGTGAACAGAATGCGACATTTTACGTCGTCTTCAGTCGAACGCCCGATAGCAAGAATGAAGAGAGTACCCACTGATCTCTATTGTAGTAGGCTGGATCGCGGATCGGGAGTCCGTCGCTGGCACCACCACCGGCCACTACTTGACACCAGGCAATACACGCAAGCCTATGGGAGAAACAAACACAATTATAAATATTGAAGGTTCTATGCTGTGCTCGAAGGCGAGTATAATATGATGTGCTGCGATCGTTATATTGGGTGTTTAGCGATCGAATCGGTATTTGTAAAGCGTTCGAATGCCGATTAAGAAAATCAAACGCGCCGGAGCACCCACCACAGAGCTGGCAAGCTTGATCTTGTAGTGGAGTGAACAAAGGAACTTGCCGTCAGAAGAACCGCCCTCGGGGAAGCGCAGAAGTTGATGAATGTCGAAGAAGTTCAATGTTGACAGCGGCTTTCCTTGAGTGAGTGAATTCCGAGTAGCAAAGCCTTGAGGCTTGTCGTCGTCTAAACCCAAATCATCGAAACCGCCACAGACTACGCGGCAACTCTAGGTGACTCTTGTCTCCTTGAGCTGCACAACATTTTCGCCCAGCGGAGTGACTCTCGACCGCAAAACATTAATTTATAAGAACTGAAATTTCTGCCAGTGCTAATGTTTGTGCACAAGCTATTTGGCTGGCTTCCTGAAGAGCAGCAAAATCGTTTCAGTGCCGACAAGAGCTTAGAAGCGGGGGAGGGCACTTTTTATCGTTTTCCCCATAGAGGCCTATGCATTTGCTGGTGTCAAGTGATGGCGTCCGGTGGTGCCACTCGACCATAGCAAGACAAGCCTCTACCCGCGATCCAACCTACTACAATAGAGATCAGGGAAAATACCCGTCAGAAAGAGATATGCACGTATGTTTCTTTCGTACATGAGGCTTTGTCGATGGCGCCATACTGTTCTGGTGTGGATTTGAACGTCATCTAGCGCTAGAGTAAATAGCCGAAGAGTTGGGAAACTTCGATTTAGCCAATGTTCCCTTGTATTTCTTTGTTTGATGTTGTTTTAAAAACAATGCGGTATGTACTGAATATAAACTTCAATTTTATAGTTCGCGAATGGATAGAGTAAATACTGAGCGCTAGTGAGCGAAATAAAAATATTAATGTGTTGATATTTGATTGATTGATTGATCGATCGATTGGCTGATTGATTGATTACAAATCAGTAGTTACGATCCTAACTTTGGAAAGGCATTTAGGATTTTTAACGAAGAGGAATACCATGGCAAAGCTGAAATATTCACTAGTGCATTATGGGGTACCCGAGAACCAAACTAGGCATATAGAAACCACACGCTGTGAACAGGACGATTCAAATCAAAATTGGGATTGGTGGCATTTGAACCCAGGATCCCTGTGGTTTACGATGCGAGCGTGCGATCCATGTGCTTTGAACTCCGGTGCGTTTTCCCAGTCGGCCAGCAATCCCCCTCGGAATGTATCTGCATCTGGGTTCATTTTAGCAACTAATGCCTCTGAGCGGACCTAGTAGTTATTTCCCAGAGCGCTGTGTTCATACAGGGAAGTGTTTTGGCGAGTTGCGTCAATAAAACGCGAACGAGTCAACGTGTTTTGCTGTCATTTATTTACGTCCTTCAAGTCTCGACACCCTAACGCAGGTTGCGACACTGGCTTCGGCAACCTCTTGGCAAGGAAGTTGGCTGCCAAAGGCTATCACGTCTACGCCGGTTGCCTCTTCTCGCAAGGAGCAGGTGCCCAAGTGCTGGCAGAATGCAGAGGTATTCAAGTTATCCAAATGGATGTCACCAGTGATGATGACATCCACTCAGCCTACGAAGACATCACCAAGAGTCTCGGACAAAACGGTGAATTGATATCGTACAGCTGGTAAAATTACGATAAACTTCAAACCAGCGCGAGCTTTCAAAAGCACCGAGCACTTGACCAATCAAACGATGCTTAGATAACGCTGATACCTGTCCTGATCTTACATGAAGCATATGGTATTACGCTACCGTAATGCTTTCCTACCTGACAGCCTTAATCCTAATCGTTCACACGCCTAATGCTTCACAGGGTGACCAGATGGGATGAGCCGTCAGCGCTCTTTTCAGTTGGCTGTTGAAGAACGTCGGAAGTTTTATCTAAGGCCAAAGCCGAAATCAGCACTCAGTCGGTAATAGTTGGTTGTATGGGCCAGAGGTGACAACAAAAATGAAGAGACGCTAAAATGAAACTCGTTCGTACCATAGTCTCGTCATCTTTCAGTTGTTTTTTTCTTAGATTGTGCCTTGTGCGTTTAAAGCCACAAGCTCACTTCACCTTTATTTTGTTTCACCCAACCGTTCATTAACAGCGTTCTTGCAGACAATGTACCATGAACGAAATCCTTCTTATAGCTACAGGCAGGATATGAGAACGTTGAGTCGTCTCTTTTAGGTGTCGGGCCTTTACCTCGCGGTCGTTGCGTTCCGTTCTGCACTGAAGGGTATGCGCAGACTCGGCGGCTCGAATACAGAGTACCGGATCACGGATCCCCAGGCGGCGGTTTTAAATCCCGGCCGAGGTATCCTCAATCGGGTGGAAGGCTATGGCGGACAAGGAACCGTGTAACGAAAATTTCAGTTGCACGTGAAAGGTCCCAGGGGGTTGTAAATGATTCTTTGTTTTCTGCAGGGACATATACCAGATGTCCTTCGCTGGTTAAACATAAAAAACACCCGCATTTTTTTTAATGGTCCCGCACGCCCGAGGCTTAACAGACGCCGAAGCGTCATTGCAGGAAGAAAGCTGGCGCTGGTGCGAGAAGTCTGAACGGCCTCCCTGCTGTTTTCATCCTGTCACTCACTTTACAAACGCGACACCTTTAGTGGACTTACGCAATCCTGAGTTTCGCTGTATCTTATAAATTTTGCATTGACCGCATTAAAGTTTCTACAAAGAGCGACCTTTTTGTGTTTCTTGGCGTTTCGCTTATTGAAAATTATAGTTTGTGTCACGCGGTGCATGGATTATTGAATTTTTGCTTGCAAGACGTTTATTATAAACCGAAAGAATTTTTTAACGTGAACTTGTTTCAAAGGCGTAAAACTGTGAGAAACGAGCTCACATTCCGCAGCTTGAGAAACCTGCGAAACAGGCTCCGGAATCATATGTTAAAGGGACCATGAAAGGACCTTTTTACTTTTGCCCAATAACTTTTACATTAAACCTTCAAAGTTCACTGGATGCCGAACAGGCATCCGTTTTCGTCTCTGTTTAATAACTTCTACACAAAAAATTAATAAAATATTGACTTTTTCTTTCTCTCCAACAAACCGCAAAATAAGTTGCGGCGTAATTTTGACAGTCGTGACGTACTCTGGAACAGGAACCGGAAGTTCTCTCGGCAGTAGGAGAATGGAAGCGTTAGTGGCGGCGAGTTGGGGGTGCGCCGGTAGATTTTACTGCGCTGATGGCGCTGATGTCACCGACGTATTTTCTGAATCGCCGACTCTCATCGGCATGATAGCCATGGACAGATCGTAGCTGAGCGAAATTCAATGATATATGTTGCGCTACAGCGACAGCATGGGACTAGTCTCATACGCCGGTATGCCTGTTGGGAAGTGCTGCGAGTTTTCCGGTGAAGACTCCAGAAGTCAACCCAACTGTCGTTGTTGGTAAAAGCCCGGCCCGTGTCAGTCGTTTGCAAAGCGACGTAGAGGGAAACAAATTGCCGCGGCCCTTTTCGCGGCCTCGGAGATGCAGGAGCGAGCCGACGTTAAGAAAGATACGTTTGAACTACGACAGCGTCAGCAAGAGCCACGTAAGTACCTGTTCACACTCGGAGCGAACGCGCGTATTTGGTGGAAGTGCTGCTTTCGCGCTGTTGGCGCTTCGGGACCGATCTTTTAAAATTGTAACTCGATACTGACGTGAAACTCGGCAAAGGAAAGTTGGACCGGCATGGCACGTAGCTCCCACGAACTGTTATAGCTCGACAGTGACGTGCAGTCTTGTCAGAATAAAAATGGCATACTAATAACAAAGTGTACATACCGTGTTACGAAGGTAATCCATACGGCGTTTATTTGAGCTCTATGTCACCCAAAACAAGAAGATAGAGTCGACGAGAGTCCCTTTTCGACGAGTGTTCGTCACCACTGCCTCGGAAAACAAGGAAATGACAAGGGGAAGAGATAGACTTCACCTCTTAATCTAAAATTGAGGTCAGCGATCAAGCTATAATTTCCAGTCAGCACGCCAGCCGGTCGTGGGCAGGCGGTCTTGGCCACAGTGGTCTTGGCCAAGTACCGTTGAAGCAACGCTGCGCCGAGTCGGAGTGCCTGCTAGTCCTGTATCCTGCCGAGCTCGCTTGGACGGGGTCGGTGGATTCGTGGCCGTTGTAGCATTTCTCGGTTGTTTGTGGGTCCAGCGTTCTTGTTCGTTGTGGTCTGTTTCAAGTACTTTTTTCTTGCTGCTTGAAGTCAGGACGCGCGAGAAACACGTAGAAAAATAAACGTTCGTTGGTCGTCGCGACCAAGTAACTAAGTGACGCTGTCGGCCCTACTGGTACTGCGCAAGCGCATAGTTGCTTCGTTTACCACACGGTAGATGGCGCTTGGCTCTCATCATTATCTTATCAGAATTATAATTACTCTCGGAGGAAGGTGAAGGTCATGGATCTGAAACGGGAGCGGAAAGCAAGGGGACTTTCAACCGTTGGATCTAAGAGCGAACTGCTACATCGACTACAAGCCGCTGCTGAAGTACCTGGCGATTTGCTGAGAACTGTACGGTGCGAATAACCATCACTGGACAGCGACGGGGAGCTGAGCGCCGATGTCTTGCTGCGGGAGGGGCACCTACGTGCTCTTACCGAAGACAAGGAAGGTGCCGTAAGGGTCAGTAACTTCGAGGGAAGCTTTCTGACACCCCCGGATTTAATGCCTACCCCTAGTGGGCATTGAAAACCCCTACGGATCGCTTTTGTCCTCAGAACGGTGGATGGCCGCGAGGATCCAGTGCCGCCAAGATGAAGAGATCGATGTGCAGGCTCCACAGCATGCTATAAAATTGAACAGTCCAAGTACTAAGCCGCAAGAACCTCTGACCAGTATCTCCTGCAAGGGCTGCGCAATGCTAGAACAGCTGTGCCAGACGCAGCAGAAAACGCGGGAGGAACGGGGGGGGGGGGAGGGGGGGGTGCGGCTAAAGAGCTTCGCCGAGCGTCTCCAACAAACGGAAATGGATCGCAGCGCTCTAAAATAACTGCACCGAAGGATAACAACAATCGAGACACAGCTGAGGGAGCTTACGACACGAAATGGGACTTTTCGACGCATGGAGGCTGGATCACAAGAAGAAATACCTTCCACTAGCAACGAGACACTGTTATCGATGTCAAAGGAGCAGTCGTGCGAATCACGTGTCTGTCTTGATGTCCAAGATGTCCATGGCCAGCTGGACAACAGGACTATACTTAATAGGGCATCCCAGGAATATCCTGATAGCCATGAAGGTGACAACGGACCACAAGCGTTGGATACTTCTTTAAAACCAGTCGCTGAAAGACCAGAAGGCAGCAGCGACATAGGCTGACAAAGACGCGGATGAACCTCACGACGCAAACGACCCAGATGCTATCAGAAATAGGGACGCAAGTGGAGGCGTATCCAAGCGGTTTCTATCAGCAAGATGTTACGAGACTACTAAGGGAACGCCACGACCGAAGAGTCCTCCCCAGAGACCTCCCGAAGGTGTGACACGGGAAGTCCTGGTCGCTAGAGACAGTAATGTGGCGCGGATCGCTGACATCATCCAGTCTGAGGTAAACAACAGGAGTTGTGTGGAGATACTGCTCCACAGAAAGGCAACAGTTGAACGAGTCATGCAATGATCGACGAATACGAGGAACAAGCCCGTTGGATACCTAGCATGTACATCTTACCATGCGGGGATTAACAATCTGCTCAGGGGAGACAAACCAAAGCCTGTGGTGAAATGTCTCCTAAAAGATGGAGTGCACGTAAATCGACACTCAATGTTTGTTTGACCCCAGAAGTCGTGACCAAAGGAAAGGAAGTGCATGCGGTGGCGATGCTACTCAACGCGAAGGTCAAAAGTTTATGTAAGAAGATACGCGCATGATACGTGGATTTAGGACAAAATATAGATGATCAAATCACCATGGACACAGATGGCGTACACTATGGGAGGACGGGAGCCCAACTAGTGGCCCAGCTACTAGCTTCAGTCGCAAGTCGTTTTTTAGAAAGAGGAGCCGGAAAAAGCGCTGGCGGAAAAGGAAGACAGAAAAGAAACCTTTCGGACATGCGCGACTATCATTGGAGAATCGGTCAGAAGTGGAAGAAACCTCCTCCAGGCTTCAGCGATCATCTCCCGGAGGGACACCGGATCACTTCTTCCCGCCTGATCAAGCCGTCACGCCATTTATATCACAGAGGCTCGGACGAACAGCCGCCCACAAAGAACAATCCAGCGTTTCTCCCAGTCATGCTGCCCTCCAGGACAAAGGAAACGAATGCTTCAGTGTCATATCTGGAACCGGCGCAGCTGGGACAACCGCTGCGCTACTCTGTTCCAGTGAACCGACCCCAGGTGTGGGGGCTCCCACAGCAATCGCACACCGTAGACCCGGAGATGCAACTGCGTTCGGCGACAGAAGCTCCAGGGTTGCAGCAGTGGATAACCACACGTGCGCCACCATACGACCAAGTAACAACCAAGTAAGAACGGCCACCCGAAACGAAGCCACCCCAACAGCACAAGATGCTACCAAATGGAGGGCCCCCGACCCATTGATTGCAATCTCCGTCATTCGCGACACCTGCGCGTGTTGCTTAACTGTGCCACTGCCAGC